TCTTTTTGTACCAAGGCAGACCTCTCAGCATCCCAACTTTGCACAAACTTTAGTTCCAGTTCCCCATCTTGTCTGCCCTCAGAGCCTTTTCTCCACCTCCAGAATTTGTTAAAATCCAAGTCCCTTGGTCATAGAAATCAGAGGACTGTACTCTCTTCTTCTCCCAGGACAAGGAGGGTATGAGCAGCTGTTCACCATGTGGAACTGTAGGCCAGCTCTGAGCTTGGCCTTGAAGTATTTCCCTTATGAATGTTTAAAAGGATGCTTCCCCCCACACACACTTTTTTAAAGATTTATTTATTCATACAGAACTGGGATACAGGCCAGAGGTGCAGGGGCAGTGAGAGGATTCACCAGTAACAGAGTCGGGAACAGAACAGGCAGATTGACGAAGTACACTGCTGAGGGGGCCAGCAGGTGAGACAGAAGAGATATTCTGGGCCATGTGGGTCACCTCCTTGGTTGGGGATTGAACTCACACCGAAGTGCCTGTGCCTGCGACCAGCTTCGCAGTGCTGCACTTTAACACATTGCGCCACCAGGGAGGGCCACTTGCCATTTTTTTTATCCAGAAAAAAAGGCTGCTTGCCATTTTTTTATCCAGGAAAAAAAAAAAAAAAACACTTGTAGCTGTTCTGCTAGGGAAGGGCTTTCAGACTGCAAACTGCCACATGGCCTGAAATGAAAGTTCGTCGGAAGCCTGGGCTTCAAGAGCTGGAACATGCCCATGCTCTTGGGCCCCAGCCTTACAGCAAACAGGGGCCAGGATTTGGGGTATGTTGAAGACGCCCACCCACCCACCCACATGATTCTTATGTGGATCTCTGCTTCAGAACAACTGGAACAGAAAAGAACCAGCCTGGACCATCATATAGGCAAGAAGCCTGTTTATATTCTGCTAGAAAGTAATCTTTGCCTATTTTCCAAAAGAAATGTAACCCTTATTGGCACCTACAAAGATAAAATGATTGCCCTTTTAGGGTGAGTTCTTTTTATAGCTAATGGAATGCAGAAGAGTTTGTTAGAATTATGTGGTATTACATAGTGAACGATTCTATTTCTGGAAAGCTAAGAGAAAACCAGACATTTACATGTTGTTTGTATCATAAAAATTTCCCTTGGCCAAAATTTTGCTTAGCCCTGGAAACATTTTAAAACTTTTGTATCATTTGCTTTGAACTGTGAATGTGCTGAAAACCAGCATCAGAGATTTTGACCTTTGACGTTTTTTTAGCTGAATAGGTAATAATTTAGCAAGTTGTAATTGTGTCACTGATAAGATAACTAAATAACTAAATGAAAATTTTCAACACCCAAGTCCAACTGCAGCTCTTACTAAAATCTATTAAACCCAAGTGGTAAAACTTTCATTGTAAATATCATACAGAATTTGTACAGAGAGTACAAGTTAAATTTTTCAAGCCACCTATCAGACTTATTGTTAAAAATGTATGTTTTGTGTAAAAGTAATTGAAAATGTATGTTTTGTGTAAAATTTAAATTGAAAAAATTAGCTTCCTATGAATTTTCTGTTATCAAAAACTATTAGAAAACAAATACAGAATTTTCTTCTGTTGTTTTCCTTTGACAATCCTCATTACCATATCTAAGCAGTAGTTCCTTGCCCCAAGATAAACAAATCAAAAAACCTATATTTCATTCATTTCCTGCAAGCACTCCTCCACCCTGCTCATATTATCACCATTTTACAAATGAGAAATCAAGTAATTTGCAAAACTGTACAGCTGACAGGTAGCAAGGTTACCGTCTGAATCCAGGCTGTCCAACTCTAGAGCCTGTATCTTTAACAACAAAGTTCCACTGACTCTTAAATTTTAAAAAGTGTAAAAGCATAGAAGCCCTTGTAGATGCACTGAAAACAAAGAAGGCAGCCCTTGCCGTCCCGAAGCCACAGCAAGAGCATTGAACCCCAGAAAGCAGTGCTGAAAGGTACCACAGCCACAAGATGAATATCCACACATCACCCTCTTCCAGAAGCCCAACACACTGTGACTCTAAAGGCCACCTGAGAAGAGCACGCCCAGAAGTATAAACTTGACCCTACGCCATCAGCAAGTCCCCCTGACCACCGAGCCAGCCAGAAGAGTGAAGACAGCACAGTGTTCCCACAGACATCAAGACCAGCGAGCATCGGCGCCAACAGGTGGTGACGCAGCTCTGTGACATGGACGCGGCCACGGTCAGCACCCTCATTGGACCCAGGGGTGACGAGAAGTTGGTGTTCAACTGGTTCCTGACCAGGACGCTTGGACACTGCCAACAAAATTGGGATCCTCTAAATTGAGTGTGACTACTTCTAAATACAAATTTTTTCACCACAGGAGATAACAACTTCAAAGTAAAAGCATGTAATGAAGAAACCTACTTCAAGAATCATCTAGGATTACAGTGTTTAATATCAGTTTCAACTGGCTCCACCCCTCCAAATGCACCCCAAATCTGCTACCTCTCACCTTGTTTCCTGCTGCCGCTCTCTGACACACTGCGGTAAGGGGCCTCGGGGCGCCCCCAAGTGTGGTCTCAGGAGCACATATAAGCCACCTGGATTTAAGGTTGTTTTCCAAATTGTATAACCCAGTTTCTCTACACCATTGTCATTTAGTTACATAAATGTAGAGTAAATGACCCCAGAAGCAAACTATCAGCTTACACTGAAGAGAAATATTCCTGAGTCAAACTTAAAAAACTGGACATTTACATTTTTAATAATAAATGATGTTTTAGAATTAACATCTAGTTTATATATTTTATCTTGATTCTGGCATGTCAGAAGTTCATGCTATCACAGTGACCTGCTCCAGCCCAAATATTAATTTTTAACATGTAGCTATTTTTGCATTCAGCCAAAATGTATAGATGATGCCCCATAAAAGTAATATACTAAATAAAAATATGAATAAAAGCTTAGCTGCGTGTCCTGTATCTAGTCACTTGACAAAAACCCAAAATGATTTATAAATTCGATCATAAACTTATTGTAAGAGAGAATACCTCTTGTAAGAGAGAATCCCTTTATCTTCTGAATTTGAGCATTTTTTAGCTAGCACCTTACCTCCTCTATCTTGTGTCTTCTGCTACTACTTATAAATTCCAGAAACCAGAAGGATTCAATTCAGTGTTTCATTTTGACTGCTAGGTCCCTGATGAGAATACCAAGTCAGTTGAATTCGTAGGTCACTATGTGAAAACCCTATCAACCCACTTCTTACATACTTTGGAGAATCAGGTAGCTAAAAGTGGTTCAGACAAGCGTCAAGCTAACAAAAGACAACTCTTAAGTTAATATACTCCCAGAGGAGAACAGTGTTAAAACTACAGTCCTTACATAACAGCAGACAAAGGTTAATTCAAACATAGGCACCAGTGGCCTTAATGAAGTTTCAAGCTTTATAAAGCACAAATTCTGAGAACTTACACAAAACATTTGAAAGTAAAATTATTTAAAATCTGTTTATGGATATTTGGTCGGGAGGATTAATTGACTGCAAATATATTTCAAATTTTCGTTTCAGTTGATGTTTGCCACCTTCACTTAGAGGGATTGAAGACTTGAAATTTAAAAGTATTCAAAATTTGCAAAAGAAAAAGGTTTTTAAAAGTTTAAATAAATTTTCCCGCATTTATATTCCTAAAATCATCACTACCTAAGATGAGACCAAGACTTTTGGGTCGCCTGTACATGGAAAACTGTGAGACTTGTAGTTGACAGCCAGTTTTCACCAAAAGAAACATTTTATAACAATATGTATTTACACCTAGTATCTGCAAGGAGGTGTAGAATTGAGCCTTTGGCTTTCTTGAAGCTGAAGATGTGTTGCTAAATTATTAAAAGTTGAGGAAAAGTGAGGCAAATTTGTAGTAATACATGTAAGACAGACTTTTGGTATTATACATAATTTTTATTTTGGAGGGGGTCAAAGGTGCATTTATTTTTATTTAAGGTAGTATTATTACATCTTGATGTTTTGGTATATTATTGCTTATAGTTTTTCCAGAAGAGTTAAAACAACTTAAAAAGACATGAATATTAAAGAGACTGCAGAAAAACGCTCCATAAATACTTGTTTTCCTTCCTGTTAGAGACCATCTAATGCAGCGGTTCTCAATCTTGGTGCGGTGGAATGACCTAAGGAGCTTAGAAAAGACTGAGGCTTGGTTCCCAAACTGAGATCTGATTTCAGTGGTCCTGGCTACACAATGGGCATTGGGAATTGTAAATGCCCCCTGTACAGTCTAGGTTGAGACCCTCTGGCTCCATCCAGAGCAATACAAAATCAGGTTACATCAACACACGCGTTGTTTGGAGTCCCACCCACCTCCCCACCCCCACCTTTTGAACCCTGGCACCAAACTCTACTCTTACCATGGAAATGGTAGGGCAAAGAATCTAATTTAATCAACTGCGTGGATTAATCTCAAAATATTAGTTTGGCGCTATAAACCCGAGACAAGAGTACATTCTATTTACATAAATTATAAGGGGGGGAGACGGTGTTTGTGAACGGATGCAATGGAAATTCCTGAGATGGAAATGCTTTCTTCTCTGATTAAGGTACATATACACACGTGTCAAAACGCACTGAGTTGAAATCTGTACGTAAGATTGCACTTCAATAAAAAGAGCGAATAGGCACTTAAATCTGGCTATTTATACAGGGTGTGGGGAGCCAAGAAACGATTATACTTCAAACGACCCCAAGTCCTCACAAGATTAAAAGGAACAGCAACCCCCAGACCACAACCGGAAAGAATGAAGAGCTGCCAGACAGCAGGGTGAGCCAACGCCTCACGAAATCGCGGGCGGTCTGGCAGCCGCAGCCGCCCGGCGCCGAGACAGCGGCGCCTGCGTGCCATGAAAATAAATCCCCGGCTCTTTTCCGGTGCGCATCTTCCGTCCGTGGTGTGCCCACCGGAAACGTCCGGAGGGAAACGGCGCAACCGCGAGAAAGGAGCCTGTAGCTACTTGGTTCCGCCGCGGATGTTGGGGCTGTAGGCGCCGCGCAGTCGGCTGTTTGCGGCTCGCAGGGAGGAGGACGCCGGGGCTCGCCTTCCCTCCGCCGCCTCCGCCGCCGCCGCCGCCATGATTCCAGTGTCGCTGGTGGTGGTGGTGGTGGGCGGCTGGACTGCCGTCTACCTGACCGACTTGGTACTGAAGGTGAGGGCCTCGGGCCTGCGCCCCAAGCCCGCGGCGCCCAGGGCCGGAGCGCGAGGCCCGAGGCCTTTTCTCTTCCCCTGCCCCGCGCCTCCCGCGCTGGAAGCCGCACGGCCGCTCCCCACGTGCGACTTTCCGCGTGGCTCCCCGGGCCGCTGCCGTGTGAATGAAGCAGTGCGGACCGCGGGAGGGGTGTGGCGGCCTGCGTGGCTCCCGCAGTCGCTTTGCGGGGCGGCGCAGGCCCCGCGACAGCCGTTAGTTCCTACCCTGGAGGCGCGGGTAGTGAACTCGGGAGGGCCGGGCCCCGCCGGACTCACGGCAGCGCGCCGGGGAGGAAAATAAAGCGTCTGCTTCGGAAAGGCGTTGGCTCCCGCTCCGGAAAGGCGTTGTTTCCCCTCATTGTCGTTAGGACCGCGACCTCTGATATTGCGAAGACCCCCCAATCAAGTTGTGAGTTAGAGCAGTGGTCTCAGAAGTGCTCTGATCACCTGGGGCTCCGGTTAAAATGCATACTCTGATTCAGCAGGTCTGGGGTGGAACCTAGATTTCTGCATTTCTTACCTGTTCCCAAGAGCCGGCAGTGTTGCTGCTGGTCCACAGACCATGCTACAGAGTAGCACGGTTAAGTAGAAAGGACTTAGACCACCAATTTGTGACTATTCCAATTCTAATTTGCATCCTGCACCTCTTCTGCATACCAAACACACTCACACACACTGAATGCCTGGTCTGTTCAGTTATTTGGGAAGAGGAGCAAAAACTGAACGGTGACCACATGCTTCAAGCAACCCTTTGGAATTTGACATTGGGGGAGGAACTGGAATGAAATGATGACTTCTCAAATATCTAATAGAAGTGCCAATTATGACTAGAATAGTCCTCATGTTATGAAAAGCACTTAAAACACTGTAGTATCATGTGTTTTAGGTTTCAGAGTAACATGAGATACTTGTGGTTCTTTGCTGCATTTAAACGTGCAAAATGAGGAGATTAAAAGTGGAGTTCGTAGAGCAAGGGCTGGACTCTGTCACGTCCTAGTCGTTGTGACCTAGAGCACATTACTCTTCATCTTTAAAATTGAGAGACGGAGGCTCTCCTGAGAGTGTGGAGAGGACTGCATGCATTATTCATTCACACGAAGTCTTGCTAGTGAACTGAAGGCTCAAAAACCAGGCACGTGCATCATGTGAGAGCTTGTCACAAATGTGGACTCCAGGCCCTGCCCCAGACCTACAGATTCAGATTCTGCCCCTTAACAAGATCTCCAGATACTTTGCACCTTTGAGACACTGATGTAAAGTACTTGGCTGAGGGCTTAGCATGTCATGAGCCCTGTAGGCCACTCTCTCTTTAAACAGTGGTTTTGTGGTGGTTTTGTTTAAGCGATATGATTTCATCATGTTGCATGTGTGACAAAAGGCCAAAATAAAATGAACTTTTCAAGCCTCTACAGTCCGGTCAGGTGTGTGAGGTGATTAGGATGTCACTTTAATTTCAGTAGCAGCCCCTATGGCCCTAAAAACACTATTGCTTGAGCAAAAAATCTGTTTCACTCAAGTATCTGCCCAGGGAATGGACAGACCATTCATTTAGGAGTCTGCACTGTCAGCCTTTGCTTACAACTTGGTCTGCGGTTCCATCGTGATTCTTCCAGGGTTTTCTCGGTAGAGGACTGCTGGATGGTTGTTTCACTCCTTTCCAAGTTCTAGAAAACAAGCAGGTTTAAAACATCACCTGAAGACAAAGAGCAGAGAACATTGCTGGCTCAAAGACAAAATAACTATCTTTATAGGCTCTTATGACTGTGATAGAAGTAACATACACTTTAGAGACAGGTAGGTTTCTCAAATGGATGGGGATCAATGGTAAAATCTTTACTGTAACTGAGGTAATATAAATCAGGGTGAGGTATACAGCCTTATATTATTCCAAATGCTACATTAGTCAAGGCCTTCACTAAAGATGTAAGTCATATTAAGATGTATATGATGACTATTGTTTCCAACCTGAAGAATTTTAGAGAAACTACGGAGACCCAGATGACTAGATAAATTTTGTATTTTCACATGATTGAATGCATCCTAATTTGCTAAAATTAAAATGTTCAGAAGAGGATGGAAGGCACTGATTTCAATGAAGCTATCCCTTCTGTTGCATTGGTTGGGAGGCTTTTTAAATGAGAACAAGGCTTTCCTTTCCCTGATAACAAAGCTTCCAGACCTGTGCTGTCCAATATGGTAGCCACTAACTACGGTGTCCATTAAGCATGTGAAATAATGTTAGTGGAAAGGAGAGTAGAAAGGAAACATCAGATTTCAAAGACTTAGAGAACAACCATAAACAAGGAAGGGAAGAAAGTAATCGTATTTAAAGTAGTTCCATTTTTAAAATATTAATTGGTTACATGTCCAAATGATAATCTCTTGGGTATTTTCAGTCAAGTTGTATATAAATTACTGTTTCTCTTGACTTAAATTTGGCTACCAGAAAATTTTAAATTACATGACTTGTATTTGTGACTCACATGATACTGCTATTGGACAATGTTGTTCTAAGTAGAGGTTCTGTAAAGGGCCAAGTAGCAAGTATCTTAGGCATTGTGGGCCAAACAGTCTGTCACATATTCTTGCTTTTTGTTGACTTTTTGTTTGGTTTCTTAAAAATGTAAAAACCATCCCTAGTTTGCAGACTGTACGAAAACAGGCCAAAGGCCAGATTTGGCCCACGGACCATAGTTTGCCAAACCCTACCTAACCTCAGTACACCAGCTAGTCTAAGACCTTTAAAATAATGAAGAATAAAAACAAATAAATAAAATAATGAAGAATAAACATGAAACAACAGATTATAAACATTGAGACAGTCGGTATCTTGCTTTCCTGTAGAAATACTTCTTATGGTTTTCTTAAACATTTACAAAGTGTTTTTCAAAATGAGTTACATGGAACTTGTCTTTCTCTCTTAGTCATCTGTGTATTTCAAACATTCCTATGAAGACTGGCTGGAAAGCAATGGATTGAGCATCTCACCTTTTCACATAAGATGGCAAACTGCAGTTTTCAATCGCGCCTTTTACAGTTGGGGACGGCGGAAAGCGAGGATGCTTTACCAGTGGTATTCTTCATTTGCTCTTTGTGGTTGAAATGAATTGCAATCATGAGAGGTGTTTCCATCATGTTCCAATCTACACAGTTGTAAAATGTTGACAATATAAAGACTTTCTGGTTTTATACAAACTTTTTTAACAAAATATTTATTTACTTAGAGAAGAACTGAGGTGCAGGCCAGAAGTGTAGGGGGTGAGAGGATTCACCAGAGACAGAGTGGGGAGCAGAACCTGCGGATCTACTGAGATAAACTCTAAGGGGAGCAGTGAGGCAGACAGGAGAGGTCTGCTGCACCGTGTGGGGTAGCTCCCTGGTGGCGAATAGAAATCAGGCAGTAATGGTGCAGAGTGCTGAGACCGCCCCCACCAAGGCCACTTGAGAGACCGGGTTTTAGGTAAATTTGTGGAATTGCATCCTTGTGCTTTTCTATACACTAAAAATTAAGGCTTCCAAGTCTTGACTGGGTGGTGGATGTGTGAGGACACATATGTAAAAATTCAGGGAGCTGTAACCTTAGACTTGCGCAGTTTAGTGTGTAAGTTATAGACTAATAGAAAGGCAGGAAGCAAAATCATATGTTGCATTTTCATCAGCAAAAGAATCCTGGGGAGCCCCTCCTTCCGTCATCACACAGAGAAGCCAGGGTTCCAGGAGTCATAGGTCGCCCAGAAGTCAGTAGGCTCTCTCCTCTGCTGCTTTTGGGACACCCTCCAGGACAAGGGTGCTTGAAATATTTACCAGCCAATAAGGCATATGCACAAATGGACCAGGAAAATAGCCAGGCAGAGAGCAGAGGAGGGTCCTAGAGCCCCTGGCCATGCCGAGCACACTTCTGACCTTAGTTTAAGGCAAAAAACTCCAGGTTTTTGTAGTTAGGTTTTTATAGTCATCTCTGGAATGCTCTAGAGACCGACAGGTCCTGTAGTTGAGAGAATTTCTATTATGGGAATTGGTGGCATTTGTCTAAATTCCTGTTTGTTGAAGATTTGGCTCCAAAATGGAGTAGAATGTAAACACCAGATAATCAAAAAGAAACTGCAACAGCAAACCAAAGCAAACAAAATAGGAAGAAGGAAATGAAAAAGAGCAGAAGTCTGTGAAATAGGAAGTATAAGCAAATCAGTAAATTCAAAGATTAGTAAAATTGATACACCCCTTACATGACTGACCAAGAAATAAGAAAACACAAGTAACTAAAAATCAGAATTGAAAAAAGGAACATTGCTACAGATTAGTATAGACTTTTTACAAAATGAGACTTTTGTGGGCCCTCCCTGCTGGCACAGGGGTTAAGTCTCAGTGCTATCAAGCTATCTCCAGCCACTGCGACAAGAGTTTGATGCTGACCTACATGGCGCAGCAGACTGCTCCTGTCTCCCCCTCTGCTCCCCTCAGCAGTGTATTTTAGTGGATCTGCCTGTTCGGCTCCCCACTCTGTCTCTGGTGAATCCTCTCACCACCCGCACCTGTGGCCTGCACCCTAGCTCTTGTATGCATAAATAACGAAAAATAAATCTTTTTAAATAGAAACCATTTTTGTGACATTCTCTATTAATTTGACCATTAATGGTAAAAATGAAATGGTTAAGTTCCTTGAAAACCACAATTTAGTCAATACCCTACTCCAACTAGTGTAGGATAACTTTTTTTTTAAGATATATTTATTTATTCATACAGAACTGGGGTATAGGCCAGAGGTGCAGAGGCGGTGAGAGGCTTCACCAGAAACAGAGAGGGGAGCAGAACAGGCAGATCGATGAGGTACACTGCTGAGGGGAGCAGCGGGCGGGTCAGGAAGGTCTGCCACGCCATGTGGGTCACCTCCAGGGCGGGGGATAGAACTTGCACCGAAGCAGCTGCCACCAGCTTGCAGTGCTGCATCCTAACCCGTTGCGCCACCAGGGAGGGCTCTAGGATAACTTTAATTATGAGAGAACAGTAGGAGAAAGAAGCTAGCTTAATTTTTTTTTTAAGATTTATTTATTTATACATACAGAACTGGGGTACAGGCCAGAGGTGCAGGAGCGGGAGGTGAGAGGATTCACCAGAGTCAGGGTGGGGAAAAGAACAGGCAGATTGTTGAAGTAGGCTGCTGAGGGGAGCAGCGGGCGGGTCAGGAGAGGTCTGCCATGCCATGAGGGTCTCCTCCGGGACAGGCAGGGATCGAACTCATGCTGAAGTGGCTTTAGCTTCTTAGTGCTGTGCTTTAACCCGCTGCACCACCAGGGAGGGCCCACTGTCTTTAAATTTTAACAAGTTAATATTTAAACTCCATAAAATACAGCTAAATGAAATAAAAACAATAAAATTGGTAGAGGAATTGGATGCAGTAATGTCAAAAGAGCTTTTGTAACTATATGAGAAAAAGATCAGGACAATGCTGTGTAAATGAGCAAAATACATGACAAAAAAACAAACTTACCAGAAATGATATTCAGGGCCCTCCCTGGTGGTGCCATGGGTTAAAGCACAGCACTGTGAAGCTATTCGCAGCCACTGCAGCATGAGTTCGATCCCCAGCAAGGGAGGTAACACACGTGGCACAGCAGACCTCTCCTGACCCACCCACTGCTCCCCCAGTAGTGTATTTCAGTCAGCCGGCCTGTTCTGCTCCCTACTCTGTCTCTGGTGACTCCTCTCACTGCTGCACCTCTGGCCTGTACCCCAATTCTTGTGTGCATAAATAAATGAATTGAAAAGAAAAAAAAAATTATATTCTACCCCTGAGTGATAACTGCATTATTACCCCCTGCTGATAGAGATCAGTGCCTGTGCTTAAGCCAAGTGTCTGAAGTTGAGGTGAGGAAAAGAGGTAGTTACTGGATTTTTAGTTATTGTTTTAAAGCTATGAAATGTGGCTGGTTGATGAATTATGAGTTATGAGGAATTGTGTATTTATGTGGTTTTTTTTTTCCTCTTGACAGGTTCAATTTTGGAATGGTGTTTGGCGTAATTGCCATGTTTAGCTCATTTTTTCTCCTTGGGAAGACGCTGATGCAGACTTTAGCACAAATGATGGCTGACTCTCCCACTTCTTCCTCTTCCGCTTCTGCTTCCTCTTCTTCCTCTTCCTCTTCCTTGTCCTCCTCCTCCTCTTCCTCACTTCATAACGAGCAGGTGCTACAAGTGGTGGTAAGTACCTTCGTCTTGGTTTAAGTAATGTTGAAACAGTCTCACCTAAGATATCGCTTTGAGGTAGCATGACTCCAATCCATAATACAAATGTGAAAAACGAGAAGTCTCACAATGTTGCAACAAGAACATAAGTAAAAATAGAGCAAGGCATTGTGATATATTAAATAGAACAAACAGTATTAATAGTAATAGTTATTGTAGTAGTGTTAATAGAACAAAGGACAACATCGACTGTCAATTCCGTGGGTACTCGATTCAGTTCTTGTCATCTTGAGGTTACTGGCAAGGAATGAGCGTGCTGACTTAAGTTGGACCAAACAGAATATATAAACAAATTCCATTTTTATTTTCTATAGTATCCCTCCCTTTTTCATGGTTTTCAGATACTAACCAATTATAACTTTTTGATTAATGGTATAAACCTTTTTGAATGGTCACTGTGATTTCTTGATAGGAAGAATAACGTGCTAAGCTATAGTGCTTTGACTATGAACTATTTATAAAAATTCTCACTTTCAAGCACATGTGATTCATGTCTCCAGAGTTTAGAAGGGGTTTTGCCACTTAGTTCACATTTTTTACATGATAGTTCCATGAGTATTGTATGTTGCTATTTAAATCAATTTCTTATTGATGGAACAGACTATTTGAGAGTCTGTGACAGATTTTTTTTTTTTTAACTCATGGCCTTTACCAGGCTGGGTCATTCTGGAAAGATTGAGAAGTTGTTTGTAGAGAAAAATGATAAAGAATCTCACTCTGGTAGTAGCTCTTTCTTAGAGGTCCTCCTGATGGTGTAGGGGTCAAGTCTTAGCACTATCACTGCTGTGACCAGGGAGGTGATCCACAGGGCACAGCAAATCTCTCCCATCTCCCCACTGCTCCCCTCAGCAATGTGTTTCAGTCAGTCTGCCTGTTCTGCAGAGAAAACCAAGGCAGACAAGTGTTAAGTTACTTGCCTCGGATCACAGTTAGTACATGGTGAGTCCGTCACTCCCCCACCACTGACCTCAGAGCCTATATGTTTGTTATGCCCTACTCCCTTAAGAGAAAGCAATATTGTTCAGGTAACTGTAAAGTAACATTGGCCCCTGTCTAGGACTTCTGTGGTGGAGAGTATGTGGTGCAGGAGATTTAGGTAGAGTCTGGGTTATGAAGTTTGATTTTACCTACAGATAACAAGTCTGTGCAAAATAGACCAACGTGGGGGTACATTGAAGATGGAGAGACCACTAAAGAAGGCAGGTGGAATAATTCATGTTAGAAGTGATACAGATCTTAACTAAATTTTAATAAAAAGGATAAAGGGGTGGATTCAAGGGACCTTTTGGAGTGAAGTTTTCAGAACTCATTGATGAACTGAATATGAGGCTGGTGGGAGAAGGAAGAGTTTAGGGTGACGCTCAATGTGATTGCGTAGTGTTTGCTAAGAAAGAGCACAGTAAAGAAAGAAGCACATTTGGAGGAAATGTGGTCATTGGCCTTTCTGTCTGATAGGATCAGAATAGCAAAATATTGTTTACAGGAAAAATTATTCTATTGCTTCTCTGTTTAATCATAGAGCTCACAAAAACATTGCCTGGTAGGAGAGCCATGCTGTGGAACCTTTAAGCAAGCAGATGCCCTCTCTGTCCACCCTGCATGTTGATGTGTGTTTAAGAATGTTATGACTCCTGACTTTGATAGGAACTTTTATAGCTTAGAGAATGTACTTTCTGTGTACTCTGTAATTCCCTGCTGCCTCATTCCGTATTAATTCCAAAAAAAACCTGGCACTCTTGTTGAGAGATCATTATTCTGGTACATCTAATACCCTGCGTGTTTGTGGCCAAGACAGATGGGCAGTTGGTACGGTTGCCAACAAACAAGACCTGCCATCTGTTAGAATAGTCACATGCTCAAGTCCTTACCTTACCTCATTATTAATGACCATAAAACCATAAAGAAAAGGAACCACTGTTCCATTAGACTGAGCCCACTAATTCATTTGAAATAAAGGTAAGGCAACCAAGATTTTTTTTTTTTTTTTTAAGATATATTTATTTATTCATACAGAACTGGGGTATAGGCCAGAGGTGCAGGGGCGGTGAGAGGCTTCACCAGAAACAGAGAGGGGAGCAGAACAGGCAGATCGATGAGGTACACTGCTGAGGGGAGCAGCGGGCGGGTCAGGAAGGTCTGCCACGCCATGTGGGTCACCTCCAGGGCGGGGGATAGAACTTGCACCGAAGCAGCTGCCACCAGCTTGCAGTGCTGCATCCTAACCCGTTGCGCCACCAGGGAGGGCTCTAGGATAACTTTAATTATGAGAGAACAGTAGGAGAAAGAAGCTAGCTTAATTTTTTTTTTAAGATTTATTTATTTATACATACAGAACTGGGGTACAGGCCAGAGGTGCAGGAGCGGGAGGTGAGAGGATTCACCAGAGTCAGGGTGGGGAAAAGAACAGGCAGATTGTTGAAGTAGGCTGCTGAGGGGAGCAGCGGGCGGGTCAGGAGAGGTCTGCCATGCCATGAGGGTCTCCTCCGGGACAGGCAGGGATCGAACTCATGCTGAAGTGGCTTTAGCTTCTTAGTGCTGTGCTTTAACCCGCTGCACCACCAGGGAGGGCCCACTGTCTTTAAATTTTAACAAGTTAATATTTAAACTCCATAAAATACAGCTAAATGAAATAAAAACAATAAAATTGGTAGAGGAATTGGATGCAGTAATGTCAAAAGAGCTTTTGTAACTATATGAGAAAAAGATCAGGACAATGCTGTGTAAATGAGCAAAATACATGACAAAAAAACAAACTTACCAGAAATGATATTCAGGGCCCTCCCTGGTGGTGCCATGGGTTAAAGCACAGCACTGTGAAGCTATTCGCAGCCACTGCAGCATGAGTTCGATCCCCAGCAAGGGAGGTAACACACGTGGCACAGCAGACCTCTCCTGACCCACCCACTGCTCCCCCAGTAGTGTATTTCAGTCAGCCGGCCTGTTCTGCTCCCTACTCTGTCTCTGGTGACTCCTCTCACTGCTGCACCTCTGGCCTGTACCCCAATTCTTGTGTGCATAAATAAATGAATTGAAAAGAAAAAAAAAATTATATTCTACCCCTGAGTGATAACTGCATTATTACCCCCTGCTGATAGAGATCAGTGCCT